ATATCCCCCCCCCCCGAAAAAATATCCTGACTACGGCCTTGGTTTCGAACAAAAGGCAAACATGACTAGAAAAATAAATTGGCTTTTGAATTAATTTAATGCCTTCATTTATTTGATCCTGCATTTTTAGATATATTTGTTTTTCAAATTTAAATATTTGCAAACGTTGTTTTTATAAGGATTTTAAGCCTTTATATTAAGGGCAGTGATTACGAAACACCCCTAAAGTTCTTGATGATTATTTCAGGTGCAGTATTCACTGAAAGCCTTGGATGAATGTTTGAACAGAGCACATTCTCGACGTGAAGCTATGTTGCAGTCTAAATACATGGAAGTAAAAAAAGTTCTCCTTGATGTGTGGAACTTGAAACAAATTATCTAATTTTATAACATACAAAGTGTTTGAATATCATAATGCGAGTCTAATAAAGGTGTTAATGGTGATATTTTTAATGAAATTGAAATGCATATTCATTGTAGAATTTTGAGTTCGCTTTGAAAAAATTAGTTTCAAAACAAGTTTATACATTTGCCAACTGCCCAGTAGGGTTGGTGGTCATGTCAGAAAAGTCCTAGGTTTGAATCCCTGGCAGAGGCAGGGATATCTATATATATATTTCTCTTACACGGCGACAAAAAAAAACCTCTTTACAACTCCCCGAATGGCAACGCTAGAAAATCAACCAATGATTGCCGCTAAAAATTTCACATTCCAAATCTAGCTGAGGTGGCTCAACATATAGCGCTTTTAAAAACGGAAACTGAAATAACCAGAGAGAGCATAGGCTAGGCAGAAGTGAGTAGTCTTTGTCGATAGATCTCTATTTTAGTATTTTGTCGAAAGCGCTTTTTTTCACGAATTTATATATTACGAATTTATTTGACGATTTTTGATTTATATCACGAATTTATTTGTTTTACTAGAATTTATTTGTTTATGCAGGTTTTTCCATTGCAATTCACTTATTTCAATTTTTAATAGACTTAATTATAGCCAAAATATTAACCTTTTTAAAGAGATATCAGTTTTAGAAATTTTATCTTAAGATTTTATACTATAGCACATTTCTAATAGGTTTAACGAATTACATGTCATTTATTTGAATTCAAATTTATTTTAATGACTTAATAATTACTAAAAATATGTTGTTGTTTTTTTAAAAAAAAAGTTGTTATACGGATTTGAATGATTGTTTTAAATTCTTAGAATTTTGTGCATTTGCGAAGCAAACCATATAAGATTGCGTAGCAATTTTCGGGGGTTGGTGAGCGTTAGCGAGCAGGGGGCGCAGCCCACTAGTTCTTTTTATTAGGGGAGTAACGTAAGCCCACTTAATAGAGTGACCCTGAAAGAGTGGTCAACACAACTGTCCTTCGGATATCCAAATGACGAATGTCAATATTTAAGGGTGGTAAAAAAAATTATACAGTCTATGCTCGATATAGTAACTCTTGTGTTGTAACATGAGATGATTCTATCGTGCCTTCACAAAAGTAGGGGTAATTCTAAATAAATTATAGGCAGTGTAATTTAAATTAATAATTGTGTGTAGCTTTACTTTTTTTTTTTTATCTCTAATCACAATTATTATTCTACCAGAAAAAAACATTTAGAAATGAAAGAGATGCCAAGTATAAATTCTAGTTCTAATATTTTTTAAATAAAACATACAAGAATTTTTACACATAAATGTGATCGAGGATTTCTTGACACTTCTGGACCTTGGATTTCCGGATCGCAGTTAACAAAAAATGCTGAATTTTTCCGGAGCACAATCATCCCTGCAAAAGTACCATAAGAGTCGCGACGGCTCAGGGAAAGAGCATTCGTCTTCCAATAAAGTGAACCGGGTTCGAATCTCAGTGATGGCTGGTCGATAGGAATTTCGCATACGACTTGCACAGACCACAGTGCTGTCGTGAGACATCCTCAGTGATAGGCGGATCATGGCTTAGAGTCCCCTTACCATGGGAGGCTCCCGTGGTCTTCCTCTCCATGTAACGCAAATGCGGGCTAGTTCCATCACAAAAGCCCACCACGAAGGCAGATTTCTCTCAACATTTGATCCCGCAGTTCCCTTGTCTTCTGGATCGGGTTCAAAATTGCAAGGCTACGTAGTTGAGCATTAGTAGTCGTTAACCCAAAAATTGGGTCAGCTATTCAACGACGGTTATAAAATAAAATGTACCATAAATATATAGCCAAATAAATCAATGCTTTACTTTAATCGCAGTCCCGCAGTGGACTGATCGTTAAGACAGATCACCGAAGTCAAGCATCACTGGCTACGGTCAGTGTGTGGGTGGGTGACCAGTTGGATCAGTCTGCGTAGGGACCGAGGGTGTGCGGTATTGGTCCTCGTTAAACTGTTCTACCCTTAAGTGCTCGACTTCGTGTGCAGGGTCTCGGGCTACCGAAGCGGGGGTGCCATCCCCTCTGTAGAGGATCAAAATTGTGATGGCATGTCTTCGGATCATCCTCAGGGATGTTTCCCAGACCGTCGCCAATAGTCCATCGTGCAGCTCTAGTACGACGTAAATTAACAACAACTTTAATCGCAATAAGGCAACTACCAGAAAAATTGGTATTAATATGTACAGTGAGCAAAATAAAAAACGAACTACCCTAAATAACTTTTGATCGAATGATCGGATCTTCACTCTTAATGGTTCGATGGGCATGTAAGGGCAAGTATGCTAATTTATTAGTGCAGACGTTATTTTAAGGTACGAAATCAGACCCATAACCTACTTTCTCTGAACAAACATACCTTTTTTACATGGTTGCTGTTATTCATTTACGTCGCATTAGAGCTGCACAATGGGCTATTGGCGACAGTCTGGGAAACATCTCTGAGGATGATTCGAAGACATGCCATCACAATTTTGATCCTCCGCAGAGGGGATGGTACCCCCGCTTCGGTAGGCCGACGACCTGCACGCGAAGTCGAGCACTTTATGGTATAAAAGTTTAACGAGGACCAATACCGCATACCCTCGCTCCCTACTCAGACTAATCCAAGTGGCCACCCACTTGAGCACTGACCGCAGTCAGTGATGTTTGACTTCGGTGATCTGTTGGGAACCGTGTCTTAACGACCAGTCCACTGCAGGACTTGAATTGTAAGGTTTGCAACTTTTTGCATCATTTTAAAGATTGCAATTTTAAATGGCAACATACAAAATCTTGAGCGAAATCGGTCAAATAGTTCTTGAGAAATTGAATTTCAAAAAATTCAGATTTTTAAAATTCGATTTCCCAGGAACTATTCGACCGAGTTTGCTCAAATTTTGTATTTTGCCTTGTAAATTTATGTTCTTTAGAATGGTGCAAAAATTTGTATAGCTTACAACTCTGCATTTTTTCGACAATTATTAAATAAAATTCGCATACTGATCCAAGTGGTCACCCACCCGCACACTGACCCTTTTTTATATGGATTCGTATTTCTGAGCCCCAAAGTATAGAGGTAGCGGCAATCTGGGAAAAAAGGTCCTAATAGTTTGGTCAGGAGAGCGGTCCAAAGTTTGGTTACCTTCATATTAATTTTACTTTTTATAAATTTCGCCATATATCACGAAATTTTTAATCAAATTAAAAAAAACATTTGCACACACGTATAAAATTCATTCATTTAAAGATGATTCCATGCAAAAATATGCATATATTTATGATTTTTTTTTTACAATTTTATTTAATAATAGTCAAAAGAAGTTTGAATTACAAAGTATAAAATTTTTTACATCATCTTAAATAACAAAATATGAGCGAAATCGATCAAACCGTTTCTGAGAAATTCAATTTGGAAAAAGTCGTAATTTTAAAATTGAATTTCTCAGGAACTATTCGAGGAATTTCGTTTAAACTTTGTAGTTTGCCGTATAAAATTACATTCGTTAAAATTATGTGAAATACTTTATACCTTTCGGTTCAAACTTTTCGATTATATTTAAATAAAGTAATAAAATTAATAAGAATTAGTAAATAATCACTAAAAGTTGCTTTTACATAGAAGTATCTGCGACAAAATAAATTTTATAACTGTACGCATAAGCTTTTTAATTCGCTTGCAAATTTTTCGAGATACGGCGAAATACGCAAAAAGTAAAATTAGCATTGAGGGTCCAAACTTTGGAGCTCTCTCCTGACGGAACTACTGGCAACATATTTCTAGATTGCGACTGCACCCTATATTTAGGAGGTGAGAAGTTTGAATCCGCTAAAAATATTACTACTAGTGAATCGGAATTGTATTCTTGTACTGGTAGATACACTACAGTACACCTCCACCAGAATTATATCTGTGATAGAATTCGATGAACGGTTGATCACTAGTTGATTCATTGCTGTTTTGTGAGAAACCAGGAGAGCTGAATTAAGATCACTGCACTTTCGAATGCTGATCGTGAAAGCTGTATTAAGGTCACGGTCGTGGTCACTCCTGTGCTGCCTTTAGCAGTCGAGGGAATACGTTGTACGTGATCGAGCTACAGCGCGAGGAGATAGAAAGTGTCGCAGTCACAACTCAACTGTTCAATGTGGACCATCCATTGAAGCAGGCGTGTTCATATTGAAGTGGGAGGTTTAGTCCAGGTTGGCATGTTCACATCGAGTCCGAAGGTCACCAATGTGGCGTGTGTTGCGTTCAACTATGTCAACCTTCATCTATGAAAAGGTACTCCATCATAGAATCGAGTTAACATGTCTTATATACTAGTGCAGTGTTTCCCAAACTTATGACTTTTGTGTACCCTTTCTAAATTTTTCGTAACGCTGTGTACCACTAATAAAAAAAAAATGCATTATTTAAATTATGTTTATTTTTCTTTTTTTGGTACAAAGTTTTGTTAATAAGTTTATTTGCATCAGTGAGAAGGATGATATTGTTTTTGCTGTGATAAAAAAAAATTGCACTAAATTTAAAAATCACAACTGACTGTTGATTCCACTCATTATTAACTGTTAACTCTGCAAAAAATAGCCAATAGAAAAATACGTAATCTAAATTTTCATGGCTAGCTTTGTTTTTAAATAAAATGTTTTGAAATTTTCGTTTGTTGCAAGATATTTCGCATAAGAACGAGTACCCCAGCTTAACTGTACCCGTACCCCTGGGGGTACGCGTACCACACTTTGGGAAACACTGCACTAGTGAATAGGAATTGTAATTTCGGAGTGTTAGTCATACTACAGAGATGAACTCTGTGGCAGAATCGTGGTGACACGGCGACATTGTCGCAGAACGATGCTCTTGCAGAAAGATTTTTCCTTGGAGAAGTAAAAAATTTCAGTTTTCTTTTTGAGAAGAAATTTGCGAAATTTTTTTTCTTTTCACCAAAACTATACTCAAAAGATGCCTTTCTCGTGCATCTGAGTGGGGAAAAAAATGCTTGTGGTTTTTCTATTATCATTTGAGAATGGTAAAAAATAAAATAAAGAATAATGAAGTAAAAAAATTTGGTTTTCTCTTCTACAGAAAGTTTGTTCTATTTTGTTTCTGTTTTCTTGCAGTTATTACTTTTAATTTCTCCATACCTTTGAAAATCCTATATTTCTTACATGATACTATTTATTACTACAGCTGGGTCTCGAAATAGAAGCATGCATTTTGTAAACCTTTTTCGAAGAGTTCGATTTGCATGATTTTGCCGTCAATCTTTTTTTCTGTAGTTACTGCTACGGTTTTCATAGTTTATTTATTTAATTTTTAATGCGATGATTTATAAATGAGAAAAAAGAAATAATTAGTGTCCTTCTCCCCTACAAAATACGAGAATATCGCCCAACAAGGGCGCCCGCAGAATAATATAAAAGGGGGTGCAACCCTCTAACAAACTACTCCCCCCCCCACCAAAAAAAAATTCTTTTTAAATATTCTGTTATTACATTTTGTTTTGCTATTACAAATACTTTCATCTACTAATTTTTTTCAAGATACATTTCTTCATTGTTAACAAGATATTTAAAAAAAAAGTACGAATGTACTTGCAAATTTCGCCACGAGAAACTGTATTGATGGCGCTGTCATAGCTACTGACTTTGAAACACAAATTTTCGTATACTAACGTGTTTGTGCACGTTTAACATTGGTATTTATTGTGTTGATGAAGTTTTACAGTTGTGAAAAATCAGTTTGTGTAATACACCTTTGTTAAACTAAATAACTAATAGAAAATACTTATATTTTNACCATGTTTTCTTTTCTAGAATGAAATTGTGATATAATTCACAAAATACTATAAATTTTTACATATTTATTTTTGCACACTTTTCAGGCAAACCAAAAATTCACACTCCATTTTCGATACACATATTTCAACATTAAATCATAATTAAAATTTATTTACAATGATGGTAATATAGAAGTCGTCCACACAATATTTAAAGCGAAAAACCAATTTGAAGTAAATTTAATTTGAATAATTTTGCCTCCATTAACAATTTTCACAGCTTGATTATCAGGTCTTGTACATGCATTTGAATTACTTGTACATAGTACAGGGTAAGTTTACTACCATTTAGCAGTACCTTCACAAATTCACCTTTAGGAAAAACGGTAAATAAAATGCAAGTTTTTATTAAATTCAAGTTGAAATTTAACTACAAAATTTTGATACAATTTTCAGTTCACAATTTCACAATAGCGAAATTGTTTTTGAATATATGGGGAAAAATATACAGAAATTTACCAGGTCATAAATGATTTTTATTTGTAGAGAAAATTTTTGAAAATATTGTCTTACTTTACCCTATTTTTGTGTTGATTTTTTAATATAATTTTTAATTTTCACAAATTATGTCTAAATATTCAAAGAATAGGTACCTCTTAAAAAAAGAAAGAAACCTAGACAGACCCCTGATGGTGGTAGACAAAATCATTCTAAATCAATCAATAATAAAATGTTAAAGCATTAAATTTACTACAGGGTATCTGCTACATTTTAGATTTTCAAATTCACGACTTTTTATGACTTTCCATAACTAATTCCAAGAATTTTTCATGACATAACAAAGCTACTATTTTTTCGACAAAAACACAATAATAAATTTTAAAAAAACATTATAATAACATTAATTGAAATGATAATTATAACCAAAACTTATACTCTGCCTCTTCATATTTATAGATATTAAATTTAAAAAAACTGAGTAAAGAAAGAGTTGAAGTAATAAAATAGCTGAAATAAAAGCAAATACTTTTTTTTCTCTTTTTTCTGCAGAATTATACTCTAAAGATACTTTTCATGTTCATCTGAAAGGAAAGAAATACTTCTGATTTTTTTCGTTCTCATTTCAGAATAAAAAAAATTCACCTATGACTGGCATGCTTCAGCAAGAATTTTTTATTGATAAAATAAAAATAATAAATTATAAATAAAAAAAACTTCAGAAATCACAGAAGTTTAAAAGATAATTCCCTCCAGAAATGATGTTCCTTCTTTCATTTTTTTGAAAGAACACTATAATTTTTAAATAACGTGATAAAAACATTTTATATTTTTATAAAATATGGCTGTGAGGGGGAATTTTATTACAAATTCAGATATTCGAAACACCATGAAATCGGGAGGGGGTAAATTCCATCTTAAAAATTAGATTTTTGGCAACCTAAATCCATGACTTTCCATGATTTTTTAAAAAAAAAAATAGTTAAAATCATGACAAATTTTGTTCAATACTGAAATCCATGACTTTTCATGACTTTCCAGGTGCGCGGATACCCTGTTACTACCACTTTAAGTATGCAAAAAAAAAAAATCCTGATAAATCAGAATTTCAAGATATTAAAGAAATAAAAAAAATGCAAATTGGATACTTCTTACTATAACAATTCTGTATATAATTGAATTAAGCATTACAATATTATCTAAGAGCGAACATTTTCACTTCATATAAGACTTTGGGAAACTTGACCTGTTTCCTTTCCAATAAAATTTTAACACCAGCATCACTAAACAATTGTCTTAGGTTCTGAGCCGGACGGGTGACTGAACCGTCTAAATGATCAGTGTCAACATCGCAGGAGGAGACATTATCTTTTATCACAATAATTCCATTCTTTTTCAGTCCTCTCTGACACCTCTTCAGGAAAGATATTAAATCATCATCAGTCAAATGTCCAATCACCCACTGAATCCATATAACATCATAATAATTTTCATCCGGCACAAAGTCTTGAAGACCTGAAATAAAAGAATTTTTCTTTAAACAAAAATTATAAGACACTTTGTGTAATACCCAAATTTATCAACAAAAAATAAGCACCTTTTAAGCACTTTTTAAGAACTCAAAATATTTTTCAAGCACAATTTTAAATATATTCAATATTGAGTGAAGCATTCAATTTTTTAAATTTATAATTACTTTACACAATTATGTAAACAAAAATTTTATTCAAAATTATAACAGGGTGCGTAGCCAAATCTTTGAATCAAAAATAAGCACTTTTTAAAAACTTTTCAAGCACTTTACAAAAATTTTCAAGCACTCAAAAAATTCATATTGAATCAATGATATTATTGAAAACAAATTTTTGATGAACAGTTTCAGCATTAAAAAAACCCCAAAAAAGAAACGGACGTAAATCGAAACAATCAGTACTTTCCCACCTCACCGAGTGAATTCAACTTGACTCTGAGCTTAGAACAAAAGTACCCTTACCCCCTACATCAAAAAAATGTTAGAAGTAAAATAAAATAAACAAGAATAAAATTAAAATAAATTAAAAAGAAAAACATTTAATAAGGATATGACTCTATCCGAATTGGAGCACTCGGGTTTCAGTTTCGAGTGTGCGCGCATGCGCTAGTCATAACGTGGGTACAACATGAAGTCCATGTGAATGATTACGTAGCAAACACCCCATTTTTCGTGAAATGCAGGGGATCCGCCAGATATCACTGAAGGGAAAAAAAATATTCGTGAAAAAAAAGGACTTTTTAAAAACGCCAGCTGAAAAAAGCACCTTTAAAAGCTTTTAAAAATGAGATCTCCCCAAAAGACCCTTTAAGTACTTTTTACAAACGCTACGCACCCTGTATAAATAATTAATTTAACTATTATTTAAAAAGATTATCTCTCCCGCAAAAATGCAGCAGAGATTCTCATGAATCCAGCTCAGTATTTGAACCCACGAGTACTTCATAAAATGATTGGAGCTTTCATACGCTACAGACCGATGGTATGTGGAAATAGATTGCGGTTGAGTGAATTATGAAAACGTTGGATAGAACAATGTGAAAACCACGCTTTTTGAGTAATTTGAAGCAAAAATTGATATGGTCAAGAAAAAAATCTCATTTTGGGAAAAGGGGAAATTAAGTACTTTTTGAAAACACCCAATGAAAAAAGTACCTTTAAGGGCTTTTAAAAAACGAAACCCAAAAATAAGCACTTTTTGAAAACACTACGCACCCTGTAATAGTAAAAAAACCAAAATATAAAAACAATTAACCCCTTCCACATACGAAAATGTCTGGGAGACGTCATTTGCTTCTTATGTCAAAACAATAATTGACGTGTCTCAGACGTCTTCACAGAGATGCAAACTTACTCCAGACAGCAAAATTAATATTTTAAAGTGATAGTTTATCAATAAGGGTCGCCACTCAAATCTGGTAAAAAAATTCCCTGTGTTTTCCCTGCACATGTTATACGCAATATATTAAGAGGAAACAACAATTACTGTGCTCTTGTGTGAGCTATATTGGGCTAACTACATTTATTAGTTTCAATTGCTGGAAAAATAGCTGAACATACTTAAATGATGCTATAGTAAATGAAATAGTTTAGAATAGCTGAAATATCATGGTTAAATATCCCATAGATTACGCTCTGAGTGGTCACCATTTTTTAAAAGATAAAAATAAAAAAACAAAATTCCCTGTATCTTCCTAGTTTGTAAAGAAAGAATCAAACTTCCCTGCATTTTCCCTGTTATTTTAGGTGATTTTTAAATTCCCTGTATTTTCCAGGTTTTCCCTGTGGAGTGGCAACCCTGTCAATTGTGATTCTTGGTTTAATAAATTCAATTTAGTAGATTTTTATCCATCACTATTTGTAAATAATTCATAGGCTAAATGATATAATAATAAAATAGTACTATTTCAAACCTAAGCAACACAACTTCTGAAAATCTTTCACCAAACTGAAATTTGAAAACAAACTTCGCCCTTATTTAAAGCGCAGAAAGAAAAAAAAGGAAAGCAAAAAATTATTTTCTCCTCTTTTTCCTGGACTTTTTACAAAACCATTGGGGTACAGAGACAGAGCAATTTTTAGACATTTGTTGTGCTCTCTCAATAGAAAAGGTCTTGTGTTTTTATGACTTCCAGAGATGGTACCTCCTGAAGACCTCAACTTTGGTCGCTGTTTTTAATATTTTTTCATTGCTTTCTACTTTAAAATTTTCGATTGGCTTAAATTTTCTTATGGAATTTCTGCTGCATTGCACAACTTTCCTTTGGAATTGTAGTATTTAACTGCTTTACACACAGGGTGCGTAGTCAAATCTTTCAACAAAAAATAAGCACCTTTAAAGTATTTTTTATAAGCACTATATACATTATCAAAATATAAAATAATTTTTAAAGACTTTACATGATCACGATAAAATAACTAGTTTCTGACAAATAACTTTTTTCTTCATCACATTAGCCATTGTGAAATGATCAAGATATTTTTCGGTTCGTTTTCAGAGGGTGGAAAATGAAGCCTGGAATTGAGAATATCCTTCAGAGCTCATTCTAGGCAGGGTTAACAGGGCGCAGCACCCTGTTGCCCTTTTAATCAAAATCATCCACCCTGTTGCCCCTGAAGTAAATTAGTGCCCTGATGTAATAGACTCCATACCCTTTCTTTCCTCAACCATTCTTTAGTTTTTCCCCAAACTCTACAATGGATTTCTTAAACTTTTGTTATTTTTAACTCTTTTTATTTAGTTTGTCATTGCTGTCAATACATAGATTTATATGGGAAAGGAAAGATAGCCATGAAACCCCCTTGTTGCACTTGTCTTTGAAAGTTTGCAGTTACTTCCATTATCATTAAATCATAATTATTATTAATCATTTTAATTACTAAATCATAACTACAGACACCTAAAAACATACATTTATTATTTTATCAATATATGTACGCATTTTAAATAAATTACATGTACTTAGCTAATTAATTTGATAGATATGTTAATTTATTAATAAAAATTAGTAATTAATACAATTGCTTTGCTACTTTTTGTAAAGTAAAAAAAAAATTTTTTTTACTAATTGATAATGTTTTTTAATAGAACAAGTAAAGCCTATAGGAAGAAATTATTGCCATTTTAGAATAATAATGCCCTTTTTTTTAAACTTTTGCACCCTGCCCTTTTTTCTGCCTAGAATGAGTTCTGATATCCTTCAAAAAGCAGCAGAGTTGCACATGAGAGCGCTAGAATCTTATCGAACCCAGCACAGTAGAGGCACATGCGGACTCGCAAGTATTCCATCAAACATGTAAAATTATTGGTGCTTTCATACGCTATGGACCGACGGTATACCGAAATAGATCGCTGAACGAATGGCAAAAATGTTGAATAAAACAATGTGAAATGCACACTTTTGCATAATCATCACCAGCAGCATTGGCACGACAGCCCTTTGTGAGCCTGGGCCTTCCTCAGAACCTTTTCCCATTCTGCCCTTCTCCCAGCAATTGATTTCCGGGCTTTTGCATAATATGTGGTAAAATTCGACATGGTAAAGAAAAAAATCTCATTTTCAAAAAGGGAAAATAAAGCACTTTTTAAAAACATGCAATGAAAGAAGCACCTTTAAGGGCTTTTAAAAAACAATTATTGAAAATAAGCACGTTTAAGCACTTTTCAAAAACGTTATGCATCATGATACGAGATTTTTGCTTCCTCTTCTTATTAAATGGAAGGACGTTGATAATTACAGTAACCACTGATACAGAATCTATCAGGGATGTTCTTTTGCATGGTTGCCACTCAAATCTGGAAAAAAATTACCCGTGTTTTCCCCCTATGTATTATACACAATGTATTAAGAGGAAAGAATTATTGTGATCTTGTATCAGCTATATTGGCCTAACTATACTAGTTATAATTGTTGAAAAAACTTGGAGAAAAAAAGGAACAGCTGAACATACTTAAATAATGCTATAGTAAATGAAATAGTTGCCCTTTTAATGGTCACCATTTTTTAGAAAACCAGAATAAAAACTTAAATTCCTTGTATTTTCCCTTTTTGTAAAGAAAAACTCAAAATTCCCTGTAAATTTTGACGATATTTAAATTCTCTGTACTTTCCACGTTTTCCCTATGGAATGGTAACCCTGCTTTGGACAGTGGACCACAAGAATCAGAAACTATCATGTTTACCTTATTTTTTTCATTTCATTTTGAATATAATAAAACAATATTTGAATACCATTTGATGATAAAACAAATTTAAATTTATTTGCAAAGAATCTAAAACATTATTTTTAATCACTTGAAATTGTTCCATTACAATTAGAGTTTTTGTTTGTTGAATATCCATAATGTGCAGTATAAATATTACAATACAGCAAAAAATTCAGATAAAGTTATTTCATCATTGAATAAAATTTCTTTGCAATTTGTTTATTTGTGTCTTTTTCTCTAGGTTTACTAATTTTTGTGTGCGAGTGTGTGCCTATTTTAAACTCCCTCCTCTACAAATCAATTTCAAAATTCGCAAATTTCTCGCATTTCGGAAAAAGCTTTGAATTACGCCATTTAGAATAAAATCCGTTTCACTTTTCTTCCCGGATCTTTCATTATTTTCAACATCTGCCACGTTATCTAGCTTCCCTATTTACCAGTATTGTCCAGAACCCTTTCGAACAACAGAACACAACCACGGAACCCCTTTCAGAACACATTTCTCTGCAACCACGTGTTTATCATAGGTAAGGTTTCTTCATGTAAGATGTTCAAATTTTTTATGTGCTAATGTAAGATGGACAAATACCTTGTAAAGGCAAAATCTTCTATGATGATGCACCCAAAATATTCAATGCTTTAAAAAATAGAAGACGTTAAAAATGTATTATAATTAAAGAAATGATTTTTTCTTTCAAGAGTTTTTGTGTTTTTTTAGTTTTTAGAAATCTCACTTAATTTTTTGAAATCTCACCCTGTTTTTGAGAAAGGGTGAGAAATTCTCACCCATTTTTTTTCTATGATGAAAACACTGATTTTGTTTACTTTCAATAATGTTAGATTGAAAATTGTTTGCTCCCTGTATGCAAAATATATGAGAAATAACAAAGAAATTACCAGAATTAAATTTCCTTGTGACTCTCTTTGCATCTTGGTCTAGATAATCATCAGCAGCATCTAAGAAAGTTTTATTCTGTTCCACCATATCAACATTCTGGAAATGCTTGAGAAGAAAATGTTTTGTCACTCTACCTATGCCACACCCACAATCCAGTGCTTGATTGGTTCCTACTGGATTCTCCTTATCCTATAATAATTAACAAAAGATATTAGTTCCGTAGTTTTCCGAAACTTAAATATTACAATCAAACTCACACAGTATACGTGAATGCGTGAACAGAGTTTACAGAATTTTTTTTTTAACAGGGTTCCCACTAAATTTCAGAAAAAAAATTCACTGACTTTTCCAGGTATATCAGGTAAATTTCAATGAAAATCAATACCATATTTTTTCTATATAACGAAATTTTTCATTAGAAAATTTTAATTCTTTTATTTGTAATGCCAAGTATTAGATTTTCTGTGTAAAATAAATATCATTATCAGGGGTCTGTCCAAACCAAATTTACTACCGTTTAGCGGTACCTTCACAAAATACTTTATCTTAAAATTTTATTTTTGAGTCTCGTAAGAAACGGTAAATTTATATTTTTACCATATTTTTGTTTTGATTTTTTAATATAACTTTTAATTTTCAGAAATTATGTCTAAATTTTCACAAAATAGGTACTTCTCAGAAAAACCTAGACAGACCCCAGATTATATTGAGGAAGGAAGCATTTCAGTTTGTCTAAAATGCGAAATTTTTACAATAATTATTGTAATATATGTTAGAATCATTTAACTTGAATCTCAACCACTGAGTACAGTTACTCACAAATTTTAAGACTGGTTATTTTCCAGGTATAATGAAGGAATTTTCTAGGTTTTTGTAACAAAATTGCAACTTTCCCTGATTTTTGGAGTTGAAATAAAATTCCTTGACAATTCCAGGTTTTCCCTGACCCGTGGGAACCCTGTTTTAATTATGGATGGTGTTTTTTTCCCGTGGCAGAATCGCAGCGACATTGTCGCAAAATGTTACATAGTTCTTGCAAAAAGATTTTTCTGTTGGGAAGTAAAAATTTTTGGTTTCTTTTCTGTGAAAATTTAAACTTAAAATTTGAATTGCACATTTAAATAATCACTTTTTGAAGTGCTCAATTTACGCCGATAGCATAAATTCATTTTGATTGTATTTTTTGCAGTTATTGACATTGATTTCAACGTGGCTTTTAGATTTCCAAATATATTTCAGGCAATATGGGAAATTCGAATTGAAGATTTGATTATTTAGATTTCCAAATATATTTCAACCAATATAGAAAATTCAAATTGTGCATTTGATCATTTAGATTTCAAATATATTTCCGGCAATATAGGAAATTCAAATTGTGCATTTGATCTTTTACTTTTTAAGGCAATGATTCTATTGAAATGTTTTTTTTTTTGGCAGTTATTGCCTTTGATGTTCACATTGTTTTTACCCCTCTCCCAACAAAATGCGAGAATATCCCCTATAATATTAGAATCAAATAAATATTACATATTCAGTTTAAAAAATTATATTGCTTTTTTGTAAACACAGCACAAAATATCTTGCAGACAGATATTAGTGCTTGAAAGTTTTGTCGCAGAAAGCCGGAAAAAATTCTGCCGCAGGAGTGTTTTCAATATAAATGCAAACAACACCAATCTCGATTTCTTGACCTACTCTATTTCTGGTTAGAAAGTATACAGCTGCTTACTACAGCTTATTCCGCAAGGTCATATTCTCAAACAAGTGGCGTGTCTACTTTTTTTGACTGGGGGGTGAGCCAATGCCAAGTCATAACTTTGCTCGATTTAATATTTCAAAATCAGTTGTATTATAATATTGTTATTAAAACTGGTTATTACTTTAAACATTTCATCACATTTATATTTGTTATAGTTGCATAAATTACTTCCATTGTTTATGCCGACTTTGATTTAACTATTACATCCACACCAACAAATTAGTTAACAAAATTTTTTTTATCGATCTAAAACAAATTAAGAAGAAAAAAAGTGCATTAAATTTGAATAAATGAATTTCGTAATTTTACTCCTTTAAATTTCTTAATGTCGAGCAATACATTCTGATCACAATGACATAAAATGGTTTTTCGCTCCTCAAAAATACATTGAATCAAGAATAATTTGTGATTTACGTTTTGATTCAGGCATAGACTTGAATCATGAATATAAATTTTCAGTATACAAAAAAATAGAATTGACTTTATCATATTAATTTAATTTTGATAATAAAGAACAAGATATAAAAAAATAAAACAAATGAAGGACGTAAAAGAAATTGATTTCTGAAATTTAATGACTTTGAATTAACTTTATCATATTAATTAAGTTATCATAATAAAGGACAAGGNCAAGAATAATTTGTGATTTACGTTTTGATTCAGGCATAGACTTGAATCATGAATATAAATTTTCAGTATACAAAAAAATAGAATTGACTTTATCATATTAATTTAATTTTGATAATAAAGAACAAGATATAAAAAAATAAAACAAATGAAGGACGTAAAATAAATTGATTTTTTGAAATTTAATGACTTTGAATTTTAACAACTTTGAATTAACTTTATCATATTAATTAAGTTATCATAATAAAGGACAAGGAATAAAAAAAAAAAAAGTGAAGGAATTAATTTTCCTTTTGAAATGACTTATAATTTCAACAAGTCTTCTGATTTTTTAGGTTTATTCCAAGGTAAAAATTATAAACATATTCAAGTAAAAAAAGATAAATACAATTTCAAACATATAAATATGCAATAATTCAATGAAGTAGAATCAACTTTATCATATTAATTAAATTATGATAAAGGACAAGGGAAGAAGAAAAAAAATGAAGGAATTAATTTTCCTTTTGAAATGACTTATAATTTCAACAAGTCTTCTGATTTTTCGGGTTTATTCTAAGGTAAAACTTATAAATATATACAAAGAAAAAAATATATATACAATTTAAAACATATAAATATGCAGTAAATTAATTACGAAGAATTAACTATATCATACTTTGATGAAGTTTTCATAATAAAGGACAAGGGATGAAAAAAAAAATGAAGAAATTAATTTTCCTTTTTGAATGACTAAAAATTTTAACAAGTCTTCTGATTTCTCTAATTTATTCCAAGGTAAAAATTACGTTCACATAAAAGAAAAAAAATATACATATGCACAAAGTAAAATATATACATACATAATTTAAAGCACATAAACATACAATAATATGATGAAGTATAGCTAACTTTATCACATTAATTTTTAATGATAAAGAACAAGGAATGAATGAAAAAACAAATGAAGAAATTAATTCTTATATTAAATAACTAGATAATTTATAAATTTAAAAACAATTTCCATGTTACAATTAATTTAGTTAGGTCGCTCCCCAAAAGTTCGTTTTCTTTCACTGTTTTTTTCTCTATGAATTGTGACAAATGTCATCAAAATCTATTTCCATTAATTTGTCCTTGTGAACATGCATCATTAAAAGATGTATTAGTCTCTTTTTGGTCATAGTTGAACGCATGCATGTTCTTAAGGCACTATAAGACCTTTCAGCTATTGCTGAAGAGGCTGGAATTATAGAGTTGGCAGGGTTTAGGACAGAATGGATTAATCCACAGATTAAACCAGAGTTTAAACTGTCCTGTCAAAAACCCCTTTATCCAAAACCTTTTCATTCAAATTATGTCACAATTTCAAAAAAAATATTGGGAAGAATAAATGGTTAACTTTTGAACAAGAAACAAAATGAGGATAAGTTTTTGTTTTATTAAAAAAGCTAATTATTATTTTTAATATTGCTTTATTTAAACTCATTCAAAAACATAATTTATCAGTATTAAATATTCATATTTATGACAACATGTATTCATGATAACAAAAATCGTAATTTTTTTAAAAAGAGCTTATTAGAATAGCAAATAATTTCTAAAATAATCTGCTACTCCTCACTTGCGAGTTAAACACCCTTTGAATTTGTAATATACCATGGAGCATTTTTTTTAAATAGCTCACATGTAACTGCACAGTTGTAGTCGATCGAAACTCAACATTTCTTCTCTTCTGTTCTCACACGTTCTTTTCCAGAAATCTTCCCATAATTATGAAAATAGAATCACGAAATTGTCATTAATTAGTCACGAAAGAGATATTTATCCTTATTTTAAGTTACAACACTATAACCCAATCTCCATTAGGAGATATTATGCCAGGAGAATTAAGCTCTATTTTATTTTAATTGTTATAACTAAGCAGAGAGGTGAAATAAGCCATTTACTTGAATAAAAACAGAGATAAATCTGGAAGAGGCTTGAACATCAGCTTTCAGTACACTAGTATGCCCACCAAGCATGCCATCTAAAGTTGGAGGTATGTTTTCCCAATAGCTTTTCCCTTTAGCATAGTAATCTGCAGCATCTGCTTGCTCTGTATATGTCACAGACATTCTTTTCGTTTGATCAATGCTTCCACTGTTGATGAAACTTACTTTATTTTCTTTTCATAAATATATTTTTGGGTCGCTAGCGGCTTTCCTTATTTACCTTTTTGAGTTGATCAATGACACGTTATCAACGGCTTATTTTTGGACATTTTAAGACTGAAAATAATAAGATTTAGCAACCTGAAAATTTACTGAAATTACGATTCGAAAAAGCTCGCAGAAGCATGGCTGAAAAAATATTTTTGTTTCGTTTTGTTTCTGAAAACAGAAACTAAAATGTATCTTCTTGATTTTTAACTTTTGTACTCCTCCTTTCTTTTATTTTTATCAGAAATAACTGCAATCAAATCTTTTTTATAATTTTTTAAAAATTTTATTTACAGGTGCTAAGCATTTCGCTGTGCTAGTGACGTCACTTTTATTTTTTTTTCTTTGCGTAATGAGTAATCATTGTAGTAAACAAAGTGTTTATATATGCTTAACCTGATATTTTAGAACTATAAAATAAATAATTACAAAATTAGGATTATAAAAGACGGTCGATTTTAAACCAGTATTTGAAATTTAATTACTTCATTTAAAAAAATAATTTCTGGATGTCTTGCAGTCTGTCACCAAGAGGGTGTGAATCAGAACTGATACGAGATTTTTAAAAAGACCTGTATTGCGAAGTTTTTGTGCAACAAATCATCTATTTTCTGATGTGTCCGGAAAGTTATAGTCCAGATTATAATATTTTTTTACAACTAAACGTTTAGTGAAATTTTAATTAGAATTTATTGTATGGCGGAGGCAGCAACTTCCGAATATAATGGATTTGTTGAAAATCAAACATCGGAGAATGATTCCCAAGTGAGTGCGATTTTCAATTGAGTAGTTTTATTTAATTTAATAGATCTTACGTTTTATTATTTTAATGACCTTTTCTTTCACTATTCTTATAGTACATTTTATCACCATTTTAAAAATAAAACTTTTGTTATCTAACGCTCAATTGTTTTAGTACGTTTAATTTCTTTTTCTCCCTTGTTTTTTTATTTTTTTAAACTGAAAATTTATTCATCATTTTCTGAACTTAAGTTTTCGAGATTATGCTTTTTTCTTGAGTTTTAAATGAAATGTCGTAATCGGGAATTGTAGGCCAAGGCCGCTAATGAATAAAATTTAATGCTGCCCTGACCGGTCCTTCAAAGTACAAAATTTATAGCTTTCACATTATTTTTCTTCATAATGGAGTTTTTAAATTTGATAAAAATTATGCTGAATTGGTTACCAGAACGCACAGTTATGGCAGTTGTTTTCATTGTCAACTAGTTTTGGCGCATTTTGATTTGTGCCAATATCACAACATTCCAAAACAAAGTCAATTGTTTTAACCCTATAAAATTATACTCTTATCAATATTAAATATATTTTTCTAACATAAAATTACCTTTTATAAATAAAAAATAGCACAGATCTATAGGGGATATTTCTATATTGCGATGCCATGCCAACTACATTCGCCAAGGCGCCAAATTGATTTTAAACAGGAAAAAGAAGCATGTATGATATTTGTCCTAGGGGAGATATTTTCGTATCTTGATCTGTCGCGCCAACTGCAATCGCCAAGGTGCCAAGAAGATTTTAAACTTGCAATTTTTCTTTAAAAAAACTGTAGATATTTGTCCCGGGGGGGACTACAAGTTACACCATTTGAGTAGATCCCTTTCTATGATGTTTTTTTTAGTTTTTCGTGGGCCACTGCCCGGAAGTTGCCCTGACTTGGCAATTATTAAGCTACAGATCTCCCCATCGTCAAGAGTTGGTGATTATTCTGCCACAGATTAGAATATTGAAATTTCTCCTGCATTACCCTTCAAGTTGGCCCCGCTCTGTGAGGTTTTTTTGTAGTTTCTCGTGGGCTGCTGAATGGAAGTTGCCAAGACTTGGTGATTATTCCGCCACAGATTACGAAATGAAAATCTCCCCAATTTACACCTAATGTTAGCCCCTTCCCTAGGCAACAGTTTGTTACCAGTTCGCACCCTGTTAATAGTGTACTAGTGTACCAAATAAATAGTCCCAGCCAGGGCCGGATTAACCTATAGGCACGTGCCTAGGGCCTACGAAAAACTTGGGAGAAAAAAATTTGTTGACAAAAATAATTTAGCTTTAAAAACAACAAGTGTATTTTGCACAAAATTATGAAGATACAAATAAAAATATAATATTTTTCGGTAATAAATTATTTTGCAGAATCTTATGATCTAATATATTACTTTTTTGCGATTTTTGGATTCAACGAAATCTTGTATTATGCTGTCGAATTCCAAACTACGCAAAATGTCGTATTCAATAGACATAAGTGCGAGCGATGCCAAACGATCTTGATTCATTGTTGAACGCAAATAATTTTTTATCAATTTTAATCTGGAGAAAGATCTTTCTCCTTCTGCATTTGATCCAAGAATCGACAAATATATTCTTAATGCAATGTGAACGTTAGGAAAAGTATTCACAAGTTTATCTTTAATTTGAGCCTTCAACATTTCTTGTGCAGATTTATGTTCATACAAATTTGAAAATAGTAAAAATTCATCTACAAAGTTTTCCTCTAAATCGGATGAGTAAATTTTCACCAAATTTTGCGCTTTTAGTTTAATCTCAGATTCTGACAAATTTTTGTGAACAAGAAAACCGAAATTATCGTACAAATCACTGTAGGCTTTACGCCTTTTAGTCATTTCTGAAATTAATACATCTAAAATGGCGTAATACGTTTCCATACGAAGAAAATTTTAGCATATATTTTGAAAAGAGGGAAGGAGGGGAGGGCCCATAAACGGCTGTGCCTAGGGCCTACGAAAAGTATAATCCGGCTTTGGTCCCAGCCCTATACCATGTTTGAAGTTTCTGAACCCAGTATTTAGAAGAAAAAATTATTTATGTTTTGTTTTCCATAAAAAAGATGTTTTTTTACATAAAATTTTTTATTAGGAAAACAAAAATATTTTAAAATAGGAAATACACCTAAAAAAATATATATTTACTTTAATGACATAATTGTTATTGCCACTGTATCAGAATGACATTGTTATTGCCACTGTATCAGGATGACATAATTGTTATTGCCACTGTATTAGGATGACATAATTGTTATTGCCACTGTATCAGGATGACATAATTGTTATTGCCACTGTATCAGGAGCTTAAGGGTGGCATTACTTTTTGGCTTTTTGCCTGACTGGGGGTCAAGCTTTCCCTGATAGCAGAGCTCAAACAAATTGATTCAAAATATTTAAATTAAAACATATTTTTTGTTCTTCATGCTTTTCTAATATAATTTTTTTCAGACATGTGTTTTTAAGTAGTTTAAATTACTAATTTTGATACCATAATGTACAGATTCATTTTTTTAATGTAAACATAAATCAAATTTTTTGCTCTCATTGATGTACAGTTGAACCTGTTTATCTCGAACCTCTTTATCTCGAAATTTCTAAAATTCCCTACATTAACTGTCTAAAATCAATGTATTTCCCATGTTTATGTCGAATTTTTTTCCTTCAAAACCTCCGTTTCTCGACTTTCTAATAATAGAGCACAAATGTCAAAACTTTCTTTATAAGTAGAACTCGTAGACAGAGATGAATTTCGTGAATCCACAGGGTAGGGATGAACAGGTAGGGTGTGTTTCTTGGAATTTCAATCACTATCCCTGCACTTCCTTAACTAGAAAGAAATACAATGATTCTAGCAGTAAGTGAGGGGTTAATAAGTAGTGACCATCAGGGGTTAGCTTTTCAACATAGATAAGAAAGCTATAGAAAAGAGTTAGTATGCAAACTTGTAGATGTCATCGATGAAACAAGTAAGACGCTAACGCTATCAGAATTACTGTTTTTGCCTGGGGAAATGTGTCTCTAAAATCTATCCAAAATGGTTTTAAAAAGCTGGTTTTAAGACTAGCTGTGAGGACGATGAATAAGAGGTTGAAGACATCAGTAAAGAAGAAGAAAATGTTAACGCTGTAAATGCAGTGCCAGATTTGCCAGAATGGAATTTAATAAAATCTGAATTTAATGTTGGCATTAATTTTGAAGATTTTTACAAGTGAACAACAGCCTGGCAACATGCGGAACATTGACAGATGCGGAAGTCTTAGATAATTTCAAATGAATATCAGATGAAGAGGAAGAAGCTGAAGATCATATTGATGAACTAAAAGTGAGGGCAAAAGATGAAAAAAAAAAAAAAACGGTAGAATTCTTATAAACTACTTTTGAATCCCAGGAAAATGTTGGCAATGAGGAATTTGCGATCTTTCTAACCTCTAAAGAATAATCGAAACAAATAAGGTTATGCGTCCAAAATCTTCGAAAAATTATTTTCAGTCTTTAATGTATGTTATAAAAAACTTATGTGAATAGATGTATATAATTAATTTAAGGAATTGTCTATACTTTTCTACTAAGGACAATTAAAGCACTTTTAATAGAATTTCTTAATTAAATAAAATTTTTTTAAAGTACCTGTATAACTCGAAACCTCTAAATGTCGAATTTTTTGCCTTTCCTGCGAGATTCGAGATAAACAGGTGCGATTGCATTTTGTACTGTTTGGTGCAATTTAACACTCATTGTAAGCTTAAAAATTATTTCTGTGATAATGTGAAATTATTGTCTCTGTCAGAAAATTTCTACGCTTCTCACTCTCATGACGCAAAAATTATTCGATAATAGAAACTCGAAATTTCACATACATTAAACAAAGCAAGTAAAGAACATTCTGATATGAAAATGTTATTAATGTATCCAAGGGGCCAGCGGGTGCAAGAGGGTGCACTTGCACCCCCCTGGTTTTTTTTTTTTAAAAAAATGAAGAGATACCTACCTACAGAAAAACAATTTTGTTATAAAAATTTTTTATTCAAAATATTTCTATTCAAATAATTAAGTCATTATTGATACATAACGATTAAAAAATTTTTTAATCAAACAAGAATTGTAATCGTCTTGTTTGCTGTCCAAATCTGTTTATAACTTTTTCAATGAATTCTGAGTCATCTTTAATTCTTTTCTTATGCATAAACTTGGCAGATATCTAAGTTATATTTTTAAATTTCACTTAATAAAATATAAATAATATTATATTTTTAGTTATTTAGTTTAACAAAGGTGTATTACACGAACTGACTTCTCACAACTGTAAAACTTCATCAACACAATAAATATCAATATTAAGCGTGCACAAACACGTTAGTATACAAAACTGCTGTTTATAGCTATTTGTGTTTTAAAGTCAGTAGCTATGCTAGCGCCATCAATACAGTTTATCCTGGCCAAATTTGCAAGTACAAGAAATTTGTACTTTTTTTTTAAATATCTTGTTAGCGACGAAGAAATGTATCTTAAAAAAATTGACAGATGAAAGTATATGTAATAACAAAACAAAATGTAATAACAAAATATTTTAAATGTTTTTTTTTGGTGTGGGGGGTAGTTTGTTAGAGGTTTGCACCCCTTTTATATTGTTCTGCCGGCGCCCTTGAATGTATCGATTGGCCGATTAAGATGGCTTCGGGACATGATCTTATTTTGCAGAACTACTAAAAAATCCTTATTGAGGAATTTATCTGAACTTATTAGGTACTTTAAGACTATCAAAATGGAGTGGAATATTAACATTTTGTGTCCAATTTGCAAGAAAGGAGATCCTGTGCAAACTGTTGTGGCATTAGTCTGCTTTGTATAACTTATACAGTTCTGTTTCACAGACTGTTACTAATCTTTGACTCACAAATAAGAAAATATCAACGTGGATTCCGTGAAAAGAAATCAACTTAAAATTTGATAGTTTTGTCTAAGTCA